GAGCTCGCTGGGCTCACACTAGGTTGTGGTTCAGGTCGGCTCACCTTGGGCTTGGGTCCCGATGGGCTAAAGTGACACGACTTGGGCCTACGGGCTTTGGGTTGCTGTCTTGGCATTGTGGGATTGGGCTTCACCAAAGGTCACTGTCATGGTTGCTATCGTGGTGACTGCCACGGTGGTGCTCCGTGGTGGTGGTCGTGCCGCTTCACTTGTCATCGCTTTAAGCCTCGTGGATCGCTGTGGACCAAATCCTTGAACGTTGAAAGTTCCATCCATCGTGGTTTCCAAATTTCTTGTCATTGTTCTTTTCTTTTACATTTATTGAAGGAATTTTTATAAAAAAATTCTAGGAACAAGAAACTTCGAGAGCCTGAGAACCTGCGAAAAATGTACAAATGAACAAGAAATAAGAAACCTTGAATGCGAGAATCTTCTTCGAACGTGTGAATCAAGCTCTCAATGAAAGCACAAATTTATGGATGTAAATTTCTTTCGTCATCTCCTTTGAAGAAAATGAACCTGCAAAATAATAACACCTAAGATTAAAGCCAAAAGGCTCACGTGCCCACGATGAATGGGGATGAGGCTTTGGTCGAAGAATCTTCGATGCCAAAGTTAGAATTTGAGAGAAAATATGTTCGGGAATTTTTGGGAGAGAATGAAATTAAGATTTTAGTGGACAAATGAGGCTATTTATAGGGACGTGGTCGGCCCTATTTGGAGAAATAGGGTCTGATCATGTATGGTGGGAATTTGAGTATAATTGAAAGATACTAAGTGAAATAATATTTTGTAATTAATTTGTTAATTAATCATAAATTGAATAGGAAAATTGAGAGTTACCTTTTGAGTGAGGAATTGATGAGGAGTGATGAGAGGGATTTGAATAAATACCATTTTGATCACCTCTGACTCTTCCATGATTTGAGCCGTCATTGTTAGTTGCATATGCGTTGGAATTCTGGTGTGCCTCTAGGGTAATTTTGTCCATTTCACCTAAAAGTACACATGTCACCTTCATAATTTGCTTGATTATTTTTGGCTCCACACTGCCAACTCAGAGTCATGTTGATCTGCGCCACCTCAATTGTTGGTTCCGTATCTATGTTCTGCTTTTCCATGTACTCGACTCACATGGAGCATTTAAGCTGATGATTTAGGGCTTAGCCTAGGCCTGCTAGTGCGTTTGCTTGGGCATTTTCTGCTCGTGGAAGTTAAGTAAGCATGCACGCTTGAAACATTGTTAGCTGCTCTTGAACCTTCTCGAGGTATCAGGCCATCCTTGGATTGTTTGCTCCATACTCCCTTAAGGTTTGATTGGTGATCAGCTAAGGTTTGATTGGTGATCGTGAGCTTCTTCACTGTTAAGTCTTTCGCCAATCGAAGACCTGCTAGTAGAGCTTTATACTCTGCTTTGTTGTTTGACGCTTTGAAGCTTAGAGTGATTACCTGCTTGATCGTCGAACCATCTGGGGTAGTGAGGACTAGGCCTGCTCCTGATTCTTGTTAGTTGGATGATCCGTTGATGTGTAAGCACCATAAATCTTCTGTAAGTGGGGCTAGTGCGACTACGGCATGGTCTGTTATCTCTGCGGCATTTATGGGCTGAGTTGCTGCGTCATTCAAGCTTGGGGTGAATTTTATGACTAAGTTTGCCAATGCTTAGGCCTTTATCACCATGTGGGGTTGGTATGCTAAGCCGTATTAGCCAAGTTCCAACGCCCACTTCATCACTCGTTGAGAAGCGTCTAAACTATGTAAAACTGATCGCAGTGGGTACTAGGTCATGATGATGACCGGATCTCCTTGAAAGTAAGGTATGCGTTTCCGAGCTATAATAACTAATGCCAAAATTAGCTTTTCAATCTTCGGGTATCTAGTTTTTGCATCAAGGAGAGCTTTGGATGTTTAAAATATAGGCAGTGGGGCCCCCCAACTATTCTCATATAAGGGCAGAGCTCATTGCTACCTTTGATACCGCCAGATAGATGTATAGGTTCTCCACTGCTTCCTGCTTGGATAGTAGTGGAGGTGACGTCAAGTACCTCTTCAGGTCCTAAAATGCTTTCTCGCACTTGTCGTCTCATTTGTCCCTTTGCACCTTCTTGATTTCCTTGAAGAAAGGCTTGCATCGATCTGTAGATAGTGAGAAGAAATGATTGAGTGCAGTTGCTCGTCCGATCAGACTTTAGATTTCCTTCAAGGTCATGTCCTTGATTACTTTGATTTGCATTGGATGAACTTCGATTCCTCACTGGGTTTACAAGGTACCCTAAGAACAGGCTTGAGGAGACTCTGAATGTTCACTTGGCTGGGTTAAGCTTCATTTATACTCTCTGGGGATGGCAAAAGTCTCTACCAAGTTGCCAATGTGGTCTGACCGCTGCTTGCCTTTCACCATGATATCGTCGACATAGACTGTTGCGTGAGTTGGTTTAGAATAGGAATGTAAATATTGTGTAAATATTAGAGTCCTTTATTAGGAAGGATATTTCTTATGTCCTTTCTTAGTTTACCTTGGAGAACAAGGATTGTATGTATTATATTCCCAATTATGCAATACATGAAAATTAAGTCGTAAAATTCTATTTGGTATCAGAGCCAAGTTCGGCGTAACCTTAGAAATTGTAAAACAATATTTTCTTCCGCTGCTGTGTTCGATCGACTTGTTCCTGCGCTGCTTGTTAAAGAGATCGATAATGTTGTGTATATTGGATTTGCAACAGCGTGATCTTGTTGCTGCCATGTGTGGTGTTATGCTTTTGCAGGTGTACCGTGTATTGACTTGCAGTGTGTAGTTGTCTGCTGCTTGTCTGGTACCATAAAAATACTTGAGGCTGCTACAGTATTAGCTGTGTTGTGTTCTCCAATTAAAATTATTGCATGGAAAGCTGTGTTGTGCTGCTACCTTATTTTGTACTGTGTGAATTTTGTGAGCGTATTTTTCCTTGTCGTGCTCTTCTGGTGCTGCAATCTGTAATTGTTTCGTAATTGCCGTGATTGACTATTGCTTTGTTGACCAAAATAAAACAAAACTATAAAAAAAAAAAGGTATTGCTTGGTTTCCTTGTAATACTGTTTCATGTGTTATTACAATGGCAAATACCGGTTGAATTTTGGATTCCAGTGCAACGGATTATATGACGTATGATAAAACCTTATTTCAATTTATGACACGTCCTCATAGACAGTATGTGGCAACTGCCAATGGTTTTATTGCTGCTGTTGTTGGAGCAGGAACAGTGTCTCTTACACCCTCTATTCCCTTAGATAATTGTTCATTGGTTCCTTCATTGCCCCATCAGTTATTGTCTATACCTTAAGTCACTGAACAATTGGATTGTGTTGTATTAATGTATCCTTCACTTTGCTTGCTTCAAGATATTCAGACAAAGGAGATCATTGGGCGTGGCACTAAAAGAGAATGGCTATATTATGTGGATGACGTTGTTCCTGGAAGAGCTAATTTGGTTCATGCGTCACGTATTTGTAATCTACATAAGGTATTGTTAATGCATCGTTGTTTGGGGCATGCGTCATTTGGTTATTTGAAACATATATTACCTGATTTGTTCAGTGGTATTAAAGACCCAGAATTAAAATGTGAAGTATGTATTTTAGCCAAAAGTCAACGTGCTTCATTCCCTCCAAGTATGAATAGAACATCTTCTCCATTTGCACCAGTACACTCTGATGTGTGGGGGCCTTCCCCAATTAGTACTACTTGGGGAATTAAATGGTTTATTACATTTGTTGATGATTGCACTCATATGACATGGGTTTATCTGTTGAAACATAAAAGTGATGTTAGTATGATTATTCAGTCTTTCTCTCAGATGGTGGCTACACAATATTCCTCCGTTATTAAGGTTGTTCGTTCTGATAATGGGGCTGAATATGTTAATTCTGAGCTTTCTTCTTTTTGCTGAGATCAAGGAATTCTCCATGAGACCACTTGTCCTTATACCTCGCAACAAAATGGGGTGGCTGAAAGGAAAAACCATCTTATTTTGGAAACTGCTCGTGCATTGCTTATTGGTGCGCCCGTACCTAAGAGTTTTTGGCCGGACACTGTTACATATGCTGTGTATGTCATCAATCGCATGCCATCTCGGGTTGTAGAATTTCGTACTCCACTATAAGTTCTGACAGAACATGATCTGGTTGTCTCTACCAACACTCTTACTCCTCGAGTGTTTGGTTGTGTTGCTTACATTCATATCCACAACATTCATCGTAGTAAATTGGATCCTTGTGCTATTCAGTATGTTTTTCTTGGCTTTGCATCCCAACAAAAAGGTTATAAATGCTATCACCCTGAACCCCGCCACATGTATGTCACCATGGATGCGACTCTCTCTGAATCTGAATATTTTTATACTCCCGTATTCTCACCTTCTGATCCCAAGGGGGAAAGTGTTATTTGTGATCTTTATGGTGTGTTTGGGTGGTTGGATGTCCAAGACGTGCGTCCTTCAGGGAGAGATGACAATACCGTGACAAGGGAGGATGTAGAATCTCAGTTACTTCCTCCTGATGATGATATAAATAGGCAGCCACTGACTGTCGCCGAGGAAACTTGTACTGAGAGCCCTTGTGCTGCAAGTGGTGTTCAACCAGCTGTTACGGAGGCCGAGCTAGCCTCACCACAAGCATCTGCTGAAGCTAGCAGCCATAAGATTTAAGCTGAAGTTTCCCCCCTCTTTTGCTCGATCGTGCCATCGTCCAATACGTCTTCTCTGAATATCCCTGAGGTAAGTACTAGTGATGCTCATGTAACTAATGATGTTATAAGTACATATAAACTGCCAACAAGGCAAAATCGTGGTGTACCTCCTGACAGGTTCTCTCCAGAAGGAAAAGTAAAGTATCCCATAGCAAATTATGCGTCATGTGAAAACCTTTCACCTGTACGTCAAGCTTAGGTAAACAATGTGGAGTCAATTTAAGTGCTAACTCGGGTAGATGAAGCTTTGAAGAGTCAAGAATGGGTGGAAGCAATGGATGAAGAGATGAAGGCATTGCAGAAAAATAATACATGGGAAGTAGTGGAGTTGCCGAAAGGGAAGAAGCCAGTTGGGTGCTAATGGGTTTTTATAGTTAAATACAAAGCTGACGGTTCACTTGATAGGTATAAAGCGTGGTTGGTAGAAAAAGGATATACTCAAATGTATGGTGTTGATTACCAAGAAACTTTTTCTCCAGTAGCTAAGATGAATACGGTACGAATTCTTATCTCATTAGCTACAAATTTGAATCGGCCATTGAAACATTTTGAAGTAAAAAATGCGTTTCTTCATGGACATTTGTAGGAGGAAATGTATATGAATTTTCTTCCACGCTATGATAATGTAGGAAAAACAGGAGTGTGCCGATTGCAAAAGTCTCTTTATGGGCTAAAGCAGTCACCTCGTGCATGGTTTGGAAGATTCACTCAGACCATAAGAAAGAATGGGTATTATCGGAGTCATTTTGATTATACTTTATTTGTGAAATAGAGGAACGGTAAAGTAACAGCTTTAATTATTTATGTGGATGATATGATAATAATAAGGGATGATTCAGATGAGATTGTCAAACTGGAAAAGAACCTTGCGGCCGAGTTTGAGATGAAGAGTTTGGATGACTTAAAGTATTTTCTAGGAGTTGAGGTTGCTCGTTCGTCAAAAGGTATTTTCATGTCTCAAAGGAAGTATGTTCTTGATTTGTTAAAGGAAACAGGTATGCTTGGGTGTAAACCTGTGGATACGCCTGTTATCGAGAAACATCACTTTGGGATTTATCCGGATCAAGAACTAGTGGATAAAGGCAGATATCAGAGGCTGGTAGGAAAACTAATTTATTTAGCTCATACCCGTCTAGATATAGCCTATGCAGTGAGTGTGGTGAGTCACTTTATGCACTCACCACGTATGGATCATATGGTTGCTGTTATGCGTATCTTGGTGTATTTAAAGTTGGCCATAGGGAAAGGAATCTTGTATAAAAATTTTGGTCATCTAAAAATTGAAGGGTTCACTGATGCTGATTGGGCAGGTGATGTGACTGATAGGCGGTCTACGGTCTACTTCTGGATATTTTACGTTTGTTGGTGGAAATTTGGTTACTCAAAGAAGCAAGAAACAAAATGTGGTGTCTAGGTCTTCTGTGGAGGCCGAATTCAGAGGTATGGTGCATGGAGTGTGTGAAGTTCTTTGGTTAGTAAGTTGCTATGGGGTCTTGGTTTCAAACCAAATAAGGCTATATAGTTGTATAATAAGTCGGCACAAGAAATTGCAGAGAATCCGGTACAACATGATAGAACGAAGCATGTGGAGGTTTATCAACATTTTAGCTCAAGAAGAAGATTGTGTCAGTACCAATTGTGAACTCAGAAAAGCAGCTTGCAGATATCCTCACTCATGCCGTGTGTAGTAGAGTTTTTGGTGACTTACTTGTCAAGTTGGGCATGTGTGACATCTATGCTCCAACTTGAGGGGGAGTGTTGCGTGAGTTGGTTTAGAATAGAAATGTAAATATTGTGTAAATATTAGAGTCCTTTATTTGGAAGGATATTTCTTATGTCCTTTTTTAGTTTACCTTGGAGAACAAGGATTATATGTATTATATTCCCAATTATGCAATACATGAAAATTAAGCCGTAAAATTCTATTTAGACCTCCATGGTAACTCCGATCTGCTTCTTGAACATCATGTTGCCGAGTCGCTGGTAGGTAGCTCTTGTGTTTTTGAGGCCAAATGACATAGCCTTGTAGTAGTATGTGCCTCGTTCGATCACGAATGCGGTTTTCTCATTGTCAAGCTTATGTATGGCAATCTGATTGTAGCTTGAGTATGCATATAAGAAGTTAAGCAGCTGGTTCCTGGATGTTGAGTCAATGAACAGCTCGATTCGGGGAACAGGATAGTTGTCTTTAGGGCACGCCTAGTTAAGGTCGGTGTAATCCACGTATACTTTCCATTTGCGATTTTCTTTTTTCATCACTAGCATGACGTTGGCCAACCATGCTGAATGCACCACTTTTTTAATAAATCAGGCCTCCAGTAGCTTGTCAATCTTCTCCTCAATAGTCGCTATTCACTCGAGTGCGAAATGACGTATTTTTTGGATCACAAGTTTGGTAGTAGGGTTGACGTGCAGCTTGTGGCAAGTTATCACTGGGTCAATGCCAGACAAATCAGAGGGTGACCATATGAAAACATCACGTGAGTTCCTCATTCTCCATCGGGCTCAGACGTGAGCCAATCCTAGCTGTATTCTTTAGCTAGTGGGTGTCAAGAATGATGTGCTCTACATCCTTTTTGGGTTTCCATCTTGATTCATTTGCTAGGGCATTGTCAACCTTGACGCATCCTTCTTGACCCGTCTGCTGTGATTGTTATTTTGGTGGAGGTAGAATCATCTTTTTGCACTTTAGCTACTACTACTAAGGCGAAAGACATATTATTTGACTCCTTGAGAACTTGTATAGTGGATCACCGAGACATGGCTTGGTTGCCTTTGATCTCTCTTACTACTCATCCCCGGATGCAAAATCAATATTTTTTTTTTTTTATACTTGATCGAGGTCGCAACTCCAATCTTCACTAGCTAAGGTCGGCCTATGATCCTGTTATAGGGGGATGGATCGCTGATGAGCATAAAGGTTTGCGATGAGACAATTAAAGGGCTGGTTACATCGAGCGAGATTGTGCCAATGGTTGTTGAGGGAAGTTTGTTGAATTCAGTCAAGACCTCCGTTTTGTGTTTGATGGTGCTTTCCAAGTCCATCTTCTGGATGACTGACAGTTGTAGAATATTGACTGAGTTGCCAGGGTCCAGCATAATTTTGTCAAAGATGGCATGGGCCAATTGAACAAAAATCACCAAGACGTTGTGGTGGTGAAAGTTTATTCCTTCCACGTCTTGCTCGGTGAAGTCGACGATTAGTCCAGGCACATCATTTATAGCTTGAGCCTGAAAGATCGATCTCGCCTGCTGGATCTTCCACTTCTTGGAATTGCTGGTGGCCCCTAGATGTTTAGATTCAGCAAAGATGTCGTTGATTCAGATTGTCTTGCCTGGGGTTTGGCATCGGCGTCTGCTTTTCACCTCAAGCAGCTGGTCCGTTGAAATACTGGTCGCATTTTCCTTCTTTTACGAGCTTCTTAAGGTACTTCATCCATGTGATGCAGCCATTGGTTCCGTGCCTTGGACCTTTGTGGAATGCGTAGTACTTCGTTTGGTCTATTTTGGAGCTATCTCCCTTTATAAGATGTGGCATCTTAAACCACGGCTTGTCCTTAGAGTCGCTAAAGATCTAGTTGATTAGAGCTGAGAACTTCGTGTACACCTTAGGTGCCATGCCTCATTTTGTCGGGGATTAATCCATGTGTTTGCTTCATGGCTTGTTTTTGTCATTAAGTAATTTTTCGCCGGCCTTTTTTTGAGCTGGCTCCATGTCTTTGCGGGGTTGCTTAAGTAGCTTCTAGAAATGCTTGGCCTCGTCCTAAAGGGAGTGCTTTTCTACCAAAGCATAAGAATCTACCAAGGTCAAGTTCTGATCAATTCTCCAAAAAGTGGGTGATCTGCTGAGAGCCCATTCCGGAAGGCTGAGCTTGCAATGCTATCATCGCATCTGAAAATCTTCGCTTTCTTTGCCTTGAACCTCTTGATGTACGTATGAAGTGACTCACTCTGGTCCTTATTCGTATTAAAGAAGTGGTCAGACTTCTTCTTGGTTGAGCGGTAGGATGAATATTCCTTAATGAAAACTGAGGAAAGTTCACTGAAGTTCCGGATTGAGAATGGCAGTAGAGTGTGGAACCAGTTTTATGCCTTGCCTTGAAGTGTCGTGGCAAAGAACTTGCACATGAGAGTGTCATTGTTATAGTAGAGGGTCATGGCACTTCGATAATGCATCAGGTGTTTGTCGGGATGTTCATCTCTTTTGAACAAGGTGAAATGTGGTGGGCTAAACTTCCACGGTGGCTCTTTCTGCTTGATCTCATCTTTAAACAATGACCTGCTCATGTTGACCACATCTCTACGAATGGCATCACCGGTAGTCTCAATATGTTGGAATCTACGTAGGTACTTTGTTACGAGCCTTTGTACTTCCTCTTGAATTTATTCTTATTAGGGCAACGAAGTCTCCAGCTGCCCCCAGTTTTGACTTGCTGGTCTATAGTGCTTTTCTGCATGTCTTGCTTTTCTGTGCCACGGTCGTGGTACACGTGGTTTATGCTGTGCTGCTCACCGTCACTTTGATGGGGGTTGCCAGTGGAACTCGAGCTAGACTGCTTTTGTGCTCTCCTCGGTCCGTTATGTGGCTGCCTACTCCAGTGCTTCACATGAAGATCTCCTTGTGGGCCTAGCCTCGTGTAGACACTTAGCCTGGAATATATGGAGTACTTGTCGTAGTGTGGACCCAACCTCGAATGCACATTGACTCGGGGAATGAACATTTCTCTACACATTAGGGAAGGAGAATATGTTTTCCCGAGGGCCCAAACCAGAGTGCACACTACTCGAATGCATGGTTCGCGGTGGGCTAAGCAGTTGTTTTCTTGAACGTTGTTTGAACAAGTCACAATCATCTGCCCTTGTCCTACTTCTGGACACCTTGTCGGGGGTGCGCTGCGTCTTGATGCACTTAAGATGCTGGTTCATCAAAGTTGTCTGCTATGCGAGGGCACTGGTTAAATTAGCGGCCTGCTGTAGCAAGTGGTGCTCGCCATTTGGATTGCAAGAGTTTGTGGCCGTATCCATGTGTAGTGGAAGTTTAGTGGACTATAAGTACAAAGCTTGAGCCCAAAGGGGGCATTCCTATCAAAAGTCGGGCCAGAATAGCCCTGGGTCGATTACAGAGGGACCGATGGGTGAAATCTGGATCACTGGTGGTGGCTTTAGACTAAATTGGGTCGCGGGCCAGGTCGCTTGAGTGGTTCACGGGGAGGGCCAACAAGGTTGGGTGGATGAAGCACGTGCGGGGGCGCGCTGGACTTGTGGATGTGGCAGCTGGGCTTAGGTTTGCGCTGCTCACTGGACTAGCACCTGGTCTTTATGTGCTTGGGCCTGTTTAGTAACCAAATAGGCTCGAGCTATCTCTATAGCGGTCTGGGCCTAGTCTTGAGCTTGGGCCATGGCTGTTTGGGTTATTGGCTGGGCTCAGTTGTTGCAGCTTGGGCTACTTGGCTGGCAGCTTGAGCTGTTGCGGCTTGCAGATTGGAGGGCTTGGCCGTCTGCCTGTGGGTCATGGAATGGGCCTGGGCTTCTTGCCTAGGGTTGTGTGGATTGGGGAGCTGCAAGAGATGTGACACTGCTTCTTGGGCCATGGCCTAGCAGCCTTACCGTGGTTGCTGGGTCATGGCAATGGTGGTGGCATGGCTCTGTGGCGATGAGGCTCCTCCTGCTGTTGTGTTGAGCCTTGAGGATCACCATCTCAAGGCTATGTCCTTGTCTCCACTCTCCGACCTCCTTGTAAGTACGAGGTTCCGTTCGTTATGGTTTCTGAATTTCCTACCATTGTATCATTTCTCCTGGGATTGATCAATAAACTTTTCTAGAAAAAATTAATTGATACAACGTGTGAAAAATTCAACGTAGCAAAAAATTCAAGAAACCAAATGCAAGAGGCTTCTTCAAGTATTTGAATCAGCTCTCAATGAAAAAACCAATTTGTCGATGCAAATTTCCATCGTCTGCTTTGACGAAAATTCACCTGCAAAACAATCAACACCTTTGATCAGAGACCTAAGCCTCACGAGCCCACGAAATGAGGGATGGGGAAGGGGGGAGGGGTTAGGCCAATGGACCTCTGATGCCTAAGTTAGTTTCACTGGAAAAAAGTAAGTGTTTGGGTTAGTTTCACTGGAAAAGAGTAAGTGTTTAGGGCTTTTAGGGGTAGCAAAAGCTTACCGAAATTTGGTACAATTGGGGATATATATATATATATATAGAGAGAGAGAGAGAGAGAGAGAAAGAGAGAGAGAGAGAGAAGTGGCGGCATGGTGTTAGGGTTTTACCCTACACATGGTGACATCCTATTGGGCAAGGTTTTATGGAGAAATATTCTCTAGATATTAAATAAGAAATAATATAATGAGATAAATGAGTAATTATCCCTAATTAATTTAAATAGGGATTACTTACTTGAAT